TCCTTGGAAATGGGTGTACAGCATATTTTCTAAACTGTTAATTTATTCATGGAAATCACCGGTAGGTGATCATCAGGACAGGTCCCTATTTACTACTTCAGTTCAGACAGCGGTAAGATTCTTTCTCATGTTACAGACTCCCATCACATTGGAGGTAACTGTTGTAAGCCAGTTGGCTCACTCTACACCTGAGCTCATGTACTGACTTAGTATGAGTTTAAACTTGGACTAGGGTGACAACAGAGAGAGATACCCATTGTTTCATCCAAATTTACTCTGACTTGATACTAGGGTATCAATTAGAGCAGAAAGCACCCAAACAGGTATACGCACAGAGATAAACACATAGAGCTCTTCAAAATTCTAATGTATTTAACCCCCATTATATAGTAAGGTCTAACATGTTACATTTGGTTGAGTAATGTAGTGAACAGCAAATCTAAAAGCAGTGCTCTTTATCCTATCGAAGGACAAGGAGGATCTGCTACAGCTAGGTAGGTATCATCAGGCGTGGCATTCTTAGCCAGGGAGACAGTGCTGGAACACGTCTTCTCTTTCTGGTCTTCCCCTGTAATCATTCTTGTAGGATCTGTGCTGCCAGGTTCCCTACTACACCTTTGTGGCAGGGGTTGGCCTTGCAGGTCCTTTTCCTATCCATTTTTGATCTATACATGTAATTCAGTCACAGGTTTTAAAACCAAATATTCCTTTCCCTTGGGGTCTAATTTTTCTAGACTAGTCAACTGCCAAACTGTCAAGCTCTACGCAGGCAACCAGCCCTGTAGCTGGAGACTGTCAGTTGCCTCTGTGACTGAGGACCCCATAGGCTAGATCAGCCGAACAGGTATGTGTGACCTCAATTGATATTTTGCCCCCTGTGTCATACATATGAATTTTTTTCTCACTGACTCAGTGTGTCATTCAGCTACAGGTACTTTTTTTTGTGTGACTTATTCTTTATTTCTTGCTGTTCTTCATTTTATAAAATTAATTTGGTGCTATCACCAATTCAATCATATTTATGCCAACCAGCCAGAGATAATTTGTGTGGGTACTGTTGCATTATCTAACTGTAATTGTAGTGGGTTGTTTTGGTAATATTTGAATTGGCTGTTAATAATAAGTAAAATAATATGAAAATGTAGTAGCTTAACTCCTTTTTATGAGAAACAAAATGATTACATTTTGACTCCTTTTTTAGTTTTCCTCCCAGCTGTAGCTGTTTCTTGCTTCAAGAATAGGTACATACCTGGGTAAGTAACATTAGGTCATGAGGGCACTTTTTACACAATCAAGCCATATCCTTACTGTGGTTTGTGTTCTGTCTGCTGGCTTGTTGGCTATTGAAGTGCTTGGGTCTTCTGCTCCTCAGCATGGCCTCTGACCATGAATTTGGCTTAGTATATCTTCCAGTTTCTTCAGCTCCTGACCTTGGGTTGTCCTTGCTCTACCTCCAGACTCATTAAGGCTGATTTGTAAACCCATAATCTTGTAGATGTAGGGTGTAACAAACTTCCTCTTTTGGGCCTCTGTGGTCAGACCTTACTCACTGTGGCTGGTGAACTCTTTGAACGTTCTGTGATTTTTCCCAAGCCTTATCAGGTTCATGGCCTGGCTTAATTATTTTCCTGTTAGATTCTTTTCAAGTGGATCTTGGATTCTCCTTTGCAATAAGCTGTTTGTATTAGGCTGCTACTGGGAATCATCTTTTACAACGCATGGCTGTGAGCTGTGATTTGATGATAAAATAATCTAGCTGCTCAGCTGTATCTCAGGTATGTGGTCACAGTAGAGGAAAGGAGTTGTGGTGTCAGTGTGTAAGCCTGAGGTAAAACTGCAGTTCATCAAGTCTTTTGTGAAGGATGTAGGACTTGACACTTGGCGAATCTCAATCCTTACCGGGTAAATTTAGTAGTCTAAAGTATTTCTCTGTCTCTCTTCAAAAATGGGGGAGTTTTTATCTGTTGATCCTAAAAAGCAACTGTTCCCAGGTCCCATACAGAAGCATGGCTAGTTTTTCTTATGCTTCGTGTGTTGTTCCCCCCCCCCGCCCCGCCTCTAGAATGGCAACTTTTTTTCTTGGGCCGTCTTTCTCTTTCTCACTAACTGCTTCAAGTATTTCTACAGCTCTAATCTTTTTTGGTCATAAAAAGGGACAACTAATTCCTCTGGCCTCAAAACTTCTGTTAGACTCTCATATGCAAAGCATATCATACACAATCTTGTCTTTAAAAAAAAAAAATCATAGAATCATTAAGGTTGGGAAAGACCTCCAAGGTCAGCAAGTCCAACTGTCAACCCAACACCACCTTGCCTACTAAACCATGCCCCAAAGTGCCACATCTACATGTTTTCTGAATGCCTCCAGGGATGGTGACTCCACTACCCCTCTGAGCAGCCGGTTCCAGAGCAGACCACTCTTGCAGTAAAAAAATTTTTCCTAATATCCAGTCAAAACCTCCCCTGACACAACTTGAGGCCATTTCCCCTTTTCCTATCGTTATGTCATATGTGAAATAATTTATTTATTCATAATAACTCTGTGTGTATTTTCATGGCAATTTGGCAATGTTCTGTAATTTATTTATTAAACATGACAAAAGATTTGGTTCTTTTGCACTGATTATTTAAAAGATTACTCATCCCTGGTTTGAGAATTTTAAAGAAAATCCACAAAACACAAACTTTTGCTTAATTTTTAGTTTGAGTCTTCCAAACAGAAATATTATATTTGTCCCAGATGACATTATTCATAAGACAGTGGTGAGAAATGTATTTTTATACTTGGAGAAATTAGTATGTTTTACATTCACCCTGCAAAAACTGGTTTAGTCTGGCATTATATTTTTTTTTCAGAGCTGTTGAGGGATTGTTTAGTCCAATAGGATTTGTATTGATTTCTGTTTCACTTTTTTTTTTGGTAAGCTTTATTCTCATTTTGTTGTCATATTGATTCTGAGAGCTTTAGCCATTTGAGTTATTACAAATTTTGCTATATTTATGCTGTAATTCTACTACAATAATCAAGAACTTAGACCTTCACAGCCATTAAACCCAAAAAACCCCCTCAACAAGCAAACACACACACCCCCCCCCACCCCCAAACTGAAGTTGCAACTTGTTTCCCGGAGTGGGAAGTATCTCTGAAAATTACTTACCCTATTTCTTTTCCCCACGTGTTTTTTCAGGTGACTTAGGGACATTAGTTTATATTATTAATTCATAGTTATTGGATGATATCGCTCATTCCACTTACCTTAAATGTTTATGTAGAATGTTGGTATAAGCCCATGAGTTCTGTTTCATGTCGTATTAGAGTATTTAATCTATATGGACCGAACATCTATATAAATATGAGACCGTTGGAAAAGAGATGCAAGGATTCTTGCAAATAAAAGCAACTATAAGTGGATAAACCTGAAGTTTAAAAATAAGTTTTTCCTGGTTGATTACCCAATACACTTAACATCAGCAAGCTCCCTTAAATGAATAAAATGATCAGCTCCGTCAAACTCAGCTGCCCCAGCAACCCCCAAGTTTATATCTGTTTCCAGCAATCAAACCTAGAAATAGCGCTGCTTTAGCTGTCTGTAGACACTCTGACATGCAACGGTATCATTTTGCAATATGCCCTGGATTTGATCAAAACGCACAAGCAGTAGCCGCCTAACTTTAAAAGAGTCAGATGGTCCCATAGAAGTCAGAGGGACTACGTTGTTTAACCACATCCTAAGAGGATCTTGGGGAAGAAACAAACAACCACCCCACCCCACCCCCCTTATAAGGATGTCAGCTTCAATAGCACTGGTTGTTAAGAATAATTCCAACCTCTTGGAATTATTCTAGTTAACCCAGTGGATCAGAATACTCTCTGATACCAGTGCTGCAGATCAAATCTTGCCAGACTTCAAACTGCAGCTGTATCCCAAGAGGAAAAAACTTTCTCCATCACAGGCAGAATTTGGTCAGCTTCCAAAAGGGATTTATTCCTCCTTTCTTAATAAAACATCTTTTGCAGTTTTATGTGTGGCAGACACCCTCTGTAGCTTGGAGAACTCTGGGTGTAGAAAAACTAGTGAAGAGCAATTATCCATCCCACCCCCTGAGGTGGGAAGCAGATTGGAAATTATTTGCACACACAGTTGGACGTGGTGAGACCACAGCCACAGAGTGGACTGAGGCTGAGCAGAGCGAATGTTTTCACATGGTCCTATTGTAAGCACCTGAATCATAAAGTCATTTCCTACTGTGGGGTTAGGAACTGCTGTAGCTGTTATACTCTGACATGCGTCAACGAATAGGGTTCTTTATTCAGTGGAAATTCTTCACCAATTCTCTAGAAATGTGGACTTTTCATTTAGAATACGGTTTTATTCTTTGCTGCCAAGTGCTGAACCTAGCACTCAGTACTTTGTGGGTTGTGGGAGAGGAAGAAAGGAAGACTTCTTGTGGAATTAGAAGACAAGCACTAAGTATTGGACTGGCTTACCATCAATGGAGGCATCTACTGCTCAGTAGATTTGGAAACTATTCCAGACTACTGTGCAGTATTGCTGGAGTTGAGCTGTTTTCAGAGAGCTTGTTACAGAATGGCATTGTCAAGGTATAAACTAAATAGCTGCAGCTCCTGTTAAGTATTTCTTGATGGCAATAGCAGTCTGCCTCTCAAATAACACCACATCACTGCTGTAAAAACGCCTGTTCATTCTAAAAAAACAGTATATAGAGAATAGAGCTAGTAATATAGGAACTCAGCTGTATGTGGAGTGGTCCACTCATGGGCAACAAAGAGGAAACTAAAGACGGATAGCTGCTGAACTTGAGGATAAAACACAAAACCCCCACCACTTTTAAATGACGAAAATATTATTTTAATTAAAAGTAAAGGCAGATATGAGCTGTGATTTAATCAAACAAAAAATAGAAGCAAACCTTATAGAGCCTCAGTAAAATGGTTTAAAAACACTCAAAGACACTCCATATCATATGCCACATATTATTCACTTGTCTGAAGACTCTTTTTTTGATAGATTCTGGAAAAGAGAAAGAATTGAATTACAGAAAATGAAATCTAATGAGTTCTGTACGTGCTTTACAGAGAAATTTTTAAATATTGAGCTGGGTTTTTTCTTTCTGAACTTTGACAAGCATGCTAAAATTAACAGATAAAGTGCAAGTAAGTTACATTCCTCCAACAGAAACTTGAAACCAGTCATAGAAATATTACACATTTCCCATGGCTGTTATTCTGCTAGTGATGCTAGTGGCAGCTGCATCTTCATACAGCTCAATCAGGAGCTCTGAAATGAGCCTTTAAACCCCCTTTATTTCCAAAAATGAGACTTCAAAATATTTTTTCTCTTCGTATTGTTACACAGACAGACAATCAAGAAATCTGAAGTTAAGATTGACATTTAGAGAAAAAACACACTTTAATAAGTTTTTGTAAGAAATTTGTGAGTGGACAAAATCAAATATTACATAAAAGGATGCTATTATTGTCCTATTTCTCCATATTCCCATCTTCCATTTAACTGACAGCTGGAGGTAAATATTAATTTAGTTCTAAATGCATAATCTTTTGCAGCTTTCAAGAAACTAATGATTAGTACTAGTCCCCCAAATAGGTCTTTCTTGTGCTAAAAACATGTCTTTAAATTCTTTTCTGTGCTTCCCTTTTCTGTGAGAAATTATATTCTTGGACATTTGGAAATAATAGGCTAAAAAAAATGAGAATTGGAGTGCACCTGCAATGCAAGGATGTTTGGCTGTGTATAAAAAACCTGCTTATCTAAACCCACTGCTAATCATCTTAAATTACACCTTTAAAACTAAAATTATCAAACACTTAAAATACATAATGAAAATGGCATACCATTTGCAGAATTTCAATTTCTGTTCGAAGAGTCTCACAGATACTCTCCCAATCATCATCTTTGCAATTTTCCAATTCTTTCTTAAGCCTGTGTCCAAAACCAAATAAATTTTTGGATTGGAGAACTGTTGCTTGGGCAACTATTTTTTTCAGCTTTGGTCCCAATTGACAATTTGACTTATGTGAGAACACCCTCATTGATCTGTTTGCGTGATCAGGATTTAAGTTGCTGGGTTTGTAATTGGCAGTCCAATACGCTGCTCGCCCGCAATATTGTTGGATTTCATTCAGCACTGGCAGTTGTGATGGCAATGTGAGGAACTTCAGAAAATGACATTTGTGGGTTTTATGTGGGGAAGTATATCTTGACTAAGTATTTTGTTAGACAAATTTTTGGACCTTGTTGTTTTCATAAACCATGAAAGATTTATGGCCTCATTAGTCATCATTTTCCTTATTTAAACATGTGAATTTGAATGTTGATACTTAGGCATTACCATATGTTACTCTTTCTACTTTCCCTGGATATGTACTTGTAGCCGCTGGTGGAGACAGGATATTGCATGGGATGGGTCCTCAGCCTGACCCTCTGCAGCCATTCCTGTGCAAATTGTTGCTGCCTCCACAGACTCCTTTGCTGTTGCTGCTTTCCTCTCCCCACTGCTCCTATTATTCTTCAGCGCTTACTGACCGTTCCCTAATAGCCTCAGCCAGGAATTCTCCAACGTTTCCAATGAGGACTAATTTAATATAGTGATTTTTGCATTCAAAAAAGCATTTAGTCCTGCTAAAAGGAGACACCTAAACTTTGCACATCAGTGACTGTAGTGGTTTAAATTAATACTCAGTAGGCCAAGAGAAATCCATGCCAGAGCTTTTAGTAGTCTGATGAATACAGAGTGATGAGATTATACTGAGTCTTTCCATGGCTGTCATAAGAAAAGCATAATGAGAAAGCTGAAGTTGCTTACCCTTAATACAGTTTCAGCAAACAATGTAAATATTCTGGGACATATAGACAGACTGGGACAAAAAGAGGAAAAGTATATATTCTGCCTCTCATTAAATAGTTAAACTGATGCATCAAAGCAGGACCTTGTTTCTTCTGAAGTTGAAAGAGGAGGTAGCAACCATGTTTTTCTTTTATATACTATAATAGGGAATAAATTATTAAACCCTATTATATAGGTGATGCACCTCTTTAGCTGTTTTACTGTTGATAGAGTTTGTTTCCTACACAAGAAAATGGCTTTATTAAAAGTAAAAGGTATAGCTCCATATGAGAGGAATAGCTTAGTCACCTTGTGGCATTAGAATAGTAGCATAAGACTGGACCATAAGTTAATTCTGTTGTTCCTGGGGAAAATATAAATATTTTACCACCAATACAGAAACAGCGTGAGCTCTGTGTGTTTGTATTACAAAAGAGTAAATGCCCCTTCTTTCGGGAATATTTCTCCTGCATTCATAATACATACAAGTGTTCACACAAAAGGAAATTTGGAACTACACTTTAAGAAATGAAACATTCACTGTAGTACAGTGAATACTGTATGTACTGTAGTACAGTGCTAGTTGCCAGACCGTTTTCATTGAGAGAAGTTCATTTCAAGGTCTAAGATCAGCTTCTGATCTTGATTAAATCAGCTTAACTTCATTGCCTTGCCTCCTCATTTTTTTTCTCTCTGTGTTGTCTGTTAGTGTGATATTAGAACCCTGATTTGTTTAAGACAAACAAAAGCCCTACTTTGCCTAATTTACTTTAGGAAAAGACATAGTGTGTTAATCTCAGAGAAAATGCTCTCTCATTGTCTTCCACATTGTAAAACTGATGCATGGTCTGTTTGCTAGTTGTCAGCTAAGAATGATACCAGTCCGTGTTAGGTGTACACTAAGGATAGAACAACCAGGAGATAAGCAGTAAGAGTTGCTTATCTGTGTCTTGGGATTGTGAATTAATTACTATTGATGATGTGCTTTGAAACTGTAATGTTTTACATATGGATTTTAAAATTTTATTTAAAATATTTTATAAAACTTTCAAATGTGGTGACAGCGCAGCTCCTTACATAGCATGGGGTAGTGATGATAAAAGACACTCATTCAAATGTGGTGTTTAATTTTTACATTAATCAATTGATTCTGCTTTAAGGTCTTCCTTCTTTCTTATTTAGAAGCCTGATAATTACAGTATGTGCCAGGAATATTATACTCACAAAATAAGGGCTGTCTGTTAGGTTACAGTCTACACAATTAATGCATCGGAGACGCCTGAGTTACTGAATAAATGATGAAGTTTTACCAGAAGGAATGTGAGACAATGGAACTATTAAAAAAAATGCTTAACCTGGAAGCAGATTTAGCTTTTTCATTTTACATTTAAGATAAGCAGAATATTCATATTCATCTTTCCACTATCAGATTGAATGTGCAAACCAATTATTCATTAAACTATGCTGTCTAGATGGAGGGCAGGTTTTCTGTCACCTTTGGAAATGGAAAGAGATGTACCTTTTGCCAGACCAAGGATTAATATGACAATTATACCCTCCTTATGACTATGATAAAAAGCAAATCTCTTAAAAAAATAATAATCTGAAAAATAACTTTAGCATTTGGCCCTCCATGTCCTTTGGTTTTGTTTTATTTTTATCATTTTTGTCTCTTTGATGATAATAAAATACATCTTTCGGAAAAGTCATTGTGCTGGATTAACAGTGTGTTGGTAATCACAAGTAATGGGCTCTGATGAACAGCTGGAGCCATATTTGCAAAAGGAGGTTCGACTGTTCCTTTGAAAAACGTTCAAGATATACACAGCGATAGCAAAACCTAGCCTTAAATCAAGTAGGTGGGATAAGAGCATCAGCATTTTTTTGGATGCCAGCTTGCCCTAGACTGAGGTCTGCTATCAGTGGTCCATTTTCCATTACTCTTGAATGCCAGAAGTGACAAAGAGATGGAAGAAGATCACTGAAGATGATTGATTTTTCAGCTTTGAAATGAGCACAGCTATTAAATGTCATTGGCATTTGCGGTTGATACACACTCTTCTTGAATTTCAGCTGTATATGCAGAAGGCAAATAGGAAAAATAATTGTGAAATCAATACAGCTGGTATTATGAATTGAACTATGATGAAAATAATGTTATTGTCAAACAGGCTTCTCTGAAAATCATCCACAGATTCGTGTTACTGGATCAAGACTTCAGTAGCCCAAACTTGCATTCCAGGAATAATTTTATGTAAAGAGGTCTCAAAGAAGAGCTAGTTTGTGTAGCAGGCAGGGTGAATGTGTGGTTTTAGAGCCTTTTTTTTTTTTTTTAAGTTGGGATAGAAGACCCTATCTGGTTATTGGTGGAATTGCAGAAGGAGCAGACTGTCTCTTGGTTATGTTTTGCTGAGACAAGTAAAACATTTTCTTCTTACTTTCCTTCTTGCATTGTTTATGACCACCATTTTATTTTTTAACCATACATATAAGGGAAAACATTAGACTGTATTATAAAATGCAATTGCTTGACATTGATAGACAGGACATAGAATTTATGGTACAAAATGAAGTTCCCTAAGAAGTTATATATAAACTTGAGAGTATGTGTGTTGATCGTCCTGAATTTTATTATGAAGGACAGGAGAAACATTTATCAAGGTTTTAAGACTTTACTGAGATTGAAGAAAAGTATAGAAGAATTTGGTTTATTGTCTCAAGCCAAAGTAGAGCTAACGTGTTGGGGTCATTCAGTCTCAGTTCAGTACTGGGACTAAATTAAATTGTATGTTTCTATAGTAAGAGCAAGACTTTGCTGGGTATCTACACTTTGCTGACACTACTAAACAAAAAATGCTATTGATATAGCTGAAGAAGAAAATAAATTTCAGACTATTATCAATTGATTGAGGAAGGGAGAAAATGAGTCCTAAATAGAATTCAGTATCTCAAAACAAACTCAAGCACTTGAGTTGAACAAATAAATTATAAAAGTATGTGCTTGATGGAGCAGAAATAGAATAAAAATTAAGAAAGTGATCTAGTAGTGATAATAAATGCTTGCAAGAATATGAAACATGAAAGCAAACAGGGTACTAGGCTACATAACAATGGGAAATAAATGTAAATTTAAATAAATAGAAATAGCTTAGGTAAAATAAGAAAATTTCAGCTTCTACTGTTCTGGATCAAATGCTGATTATAAAATACATAATTATCATTGATTAAAGTTTGCATTTTGTGAACGTTACCAGGGAACTATTTATAAAAGTAGTTATAGGTCTTCAAAAGTGTGAGGGTTTTTTTAGGGGTGGGTTTTTTGGATTTTTTTTAATTATTTTTTAATTTATATTCCCCAGATACATAAACCATCACAAGAAGTCTTTAAGGAATATATTATTATAGATGAATAAGCCTGGAAAGGTTAAGGCATATACTGACTTAAACCACACATTTAGGATGAGATTTGCTTTTGTGCAGCCAGCAAACCGAAGGCATACGGACTATTTTCCATATGAACTGAAAAAACAAGTTACACAAGAAAGAAAAAAATTTACAAGCATCAGAGACATCAAAACTGAAATGTGTTTCTAGGGGTCAATAAGATTCCTACTGAAAGACAGGGAAAATAAATCTGTGTCAATGATCCTTCTAGTTCAAATATCATGATTTTTCTATTGTACAGGGAAAATACTTTGCTAACATCTAGACGGATGGCATTTGCATTTTCTTTGACTAACCAATCGGTTGTCTTATGAAAGAAAGATATCATTAGTCAGATTTGATCTACTTTTTGTAAACCCATACTGAATTTATAATGGAAACCTATTTTAACGTAATTCAAACTATAATAGTTCCACTGGGCACTGCTATTAAAAGGAAAAGCTTAAAAAATCGATGAGGAGATTGTCATTAAAAAACCCATTCTGAACCACATGTATTACTCTGGAGACTTATATTTCCCAATTATAAAATTTAACATAAAATTAAATGGTAAATATTTTTTTTTAAACCACCAGAACCATGCATGGCCTTAGGCAGTCCATTGTTAGCATGAAACATTTGTTCAGCTCTAATGAACATATTTCCTGTATGACTTGTATGGAAGAAAACATCGCTTTTTCCTTCCTAATTTTGGTAATGGAGTTTCTTTTTCCATATTCTGAAGTATAAGAAGCAATACTATATTTTTAGGAATTAGGCTAGCCTACAGAGCCTCGAACTATTTACAAAGTAAGCTGATGTCATGCATTTCCCTTCTGCTACTGCTTTTCTGAAACAGAACAGAAATTCAGGTTTCAAAAAACTAATTTATCCTTAGTCTATCTTTAGAATAGTGTGAAAAATTTCCATTTTAGGTAGAAACTGTCTGTTCATAGTCTAAATAAAGTTTAATTAAAATTATTTCTAGGTTGCTTTACATAAGGCAACACATACATTTAAAATTAAAATGTGAAAGAAGATAAATAATTAATATAGTAAGTAATTACAATGAATATAATAGTGAAATGACATAGCTAGGAATTTGCTGGTATCAGTTAGTCTCTGCTTGACTCCTGTATTGTTCCACTTAAGTGATGCTACTTGCTACCTGCCAGGGAAATGTGACTCAAGAGCTCATGCCAAAGTTCTTTCCTGCTGTTTTGTGTTTGGGGTTGGCACTGGCAGAACAGATGATTAAAATAAGGATTCTGATCTTAATTGCAGATCTTTTCTGAAAAAAAAGCCTTCTTTTCTTAAATATTTCTCTCTATTATGCACCTGTAACATGAGACTTAAGATTTCCAGGGTGCCTACTTTGCAGATGAGGGTACAGTGCCTGATCCTTAACTATATCTGTGTTTAACATTCAAGTTTTGGTTAGCCTTTTCCTGTGTCTGATGTGCATCAGAACAAGCCTATATAAGTGCAGCACCAACAGCTGTTGGAATTACTGGTGTGTGCTTCTCGTGACCTTTTGTAATTCTTTGATGGATTTGGGAGAAATTTTATGAAACTGCAGACACAGTATAGGGCATTTTGCTCAGATCAAAGATGAATTGCTGTAATTTGAATTAGCTGGCTACACTCTTCAGCTGAAATGCAATTTAGTTTAAGATATATACTTAATTGTAATGAAGATTCTTGCCTTGCCAGCTACTTTTGATATTGATTTTTAAGCTGAGGCTAGGTATGTGATACAATAACAGACATACAGGGTGGTCTGGGAGCTACATATATCATATTGCTGCTGACTGACTGTCTCTCACATTTGTTCTAAGGAAGCTTTAAAAACATCGGTATTTTTACCATTTAAAAAGTGGTGTGGTTTCCTGCTCTGCAAAAAAAGAATAAAATTTTGTGCTTCTTTCATAGAAAACATATGTATTTTTGATCCACATTACTTGTGTCAAAACATTCTTCTCTTTATATGTATTAAATATGATTTTCAGTAAAAACTAAAATTCTATTCTTGCAGTAGATTCTGTATGGGGAAAAAAGCTTATCTTGTTAGGCTAAAAAGGTTTTTTTCTCAAAAACCATAGGCTCAATCACATTGATTTTAACATGACCAAAACTGACTCCTATTAAGATATACGCTAGTATATGTGAGATTGCACTTACTGGCACTTGCAAAGGACCTTTTGCAGCCAAAGTGGCAAAGGTGTATCTAGACTGTCAGGAGGGCTTCCCAGTTCACCCCAGGTGCCTGGTACTTCAGTTATTTTATTCTCACTGACACTATATGAATTCTTCTTTATTCTCAGATGCCCTTCAGAGGGCATCCACAGGAATGGACAGGATAGTTTGCTCAAGGACCTGCATGGACTGCATCAGCTCTGCTGCTGCAGCCGTGGGCCCTCAAACACTTCTGCGTCATGCCCTAGGGCATGCAATGCGCATGCTGGGTATCGTCATTTTGAACCAGCACTCCGCTGTGCTGGACATAACTCCTTTAAGTGTTTCATACATTTTTGAATGGAAAATATCTGTGACATTATATCTTATTGTCACAGAAACACTACAAAGGGACCAGAGCAGATATGATCTCACCAAATGCTAGGCAGTGTGGAAATGACTGATTTGTTGCAGATAATGCTGCCTCTGAGCAGCGTAGCCACAAGGCAGTGCATATGTGTTGATCTATGGGCTGTGCAATCCACAGAGATAATCGGTTCATTGGGTAATTCAGACTGGAAGAGATGTCAGGAGGTCATCTAACCCAATGTCCTTCTCAAAGCAGGGTCAGCTACAAGGTCAGACCAGGTTATTCAGGGCTTTATCCAGTCAAGTCCGAAAACCTTCAAGGATGAAAACTATGCAACCTTTCTGGGCAACCTTTTCCTTTGCTATACTAGCCTCATGATAAAAAAGTTTTTCCTTAAATTAATTCTAAACCACTCTTGTTTCAACTTTTGCTTTTTGCCTTTTGTTCTCTCACTGTGCAGCATTGTGGAGATCCTGGATCCATCTTCTTGATGATCTCCTTGTAGGTACTGGAGGGCAATCAGGTACCTCCAGGGGGACTATTTATATAGAGTACTATTTATGGCTTATAATACTTTAAATTCCCTTTCATTCTCTTAATTCAGGAGTCCAACCCAAGTAATGACGAGTAGGTTTTGTTTAAAAAAAAAATTTACAGAGTTGTATGAGTCTGATAAGGTTTGGGATAATTCTAAACAGCACAGTGCTATGACATACAGATGTAGAAAAATGAGGACTGCCTTCTTGGCTCTACTGAAAAACAGAATCTGTTAGTGGTGACACAGAAGTACAGTAACACAGCTACATTGCTTCTGGCATCTGAGTTAACTTATTCAGGGCTCTCTCTGTAAAGCATTGAGCTTTTCTGATCAAAACCAAGTGCAAGATAAAAGTATGATTTAGGCAAATCTGTCCTAAATTTTGTCCAGTATCTGAAATGAAAAAAATGTCAATGTAAAGAAAAATTCTTCAGTGTATTATTACACCTCAAGGAGCACTTGCTTTCTGTGATAGTAGGAATAGCAGTAGGAGCATTTTATATTTTGCGCTACACGCAATTATCAAATAATGTAAGCTTATCTTGACCATAAAATGAAGCATTTTATGAAATAAAAAAATCTCATCATCCTTCTTGCCTTGGTTGTAAATGACACTTGCTGGTTTTGTAGTTAATAGAACATAATATGTTTTATCCACTGTTGTGTTTTCCACCCAGATAAAACCAAAGTATCGTTCCACAGAGCTGTGAGTTAATTTCACTGCATAGACAGACAGATGTACATAGATTTGAATGATTTGCCTAGGATCTCATAGCAATCAGTGGCAAGGCTGGGGATTTAAAGTAATACAATGTTTGCTACTTCTGTACCTGGAAACTAATTACACCAATTTGGATATTAAGTGGCATCATGGCAGTAAACTACTGCAAGGCAAGTATGTTATTTAGAAGGAAGGTGACAACCTCATGTATCACAAAACCTAATATATCACGATGGAATGAATAATGTAAAAGAGTGAATTATACCATGCTGTCTTACAGAATTGCTGCTGTTGTTATTATTTACACTGTGTCTTCTATGTATATGTTAAACACAAAGTTTTTGCTCCCGTATGCAGAATTGTGAGCTAATTAATTTTTATGCTGAGGGAGTTTTGGCCATGTCTCAACACCATGCAAGAGGTTGAAGAGAGTTAGTAATAGGGCTGATATATCATTTTCTCTCAAAACCCGATATTCAGCAAAAAATGGGCTATTACCAAAATGTCTGTCAGAAAAATGCTCAGGGTTCTCTGCAAAATTTTATTTTTCCACTGAAAGTTTTAGAAAAAAAATACTATATTTATTATTGTCAAGAAACTCAGAAATTTTAGGGAAAAAAACCCATGATGGTAACAAAAGTTGTGTTTTCCTTAACAATTTCTGCTACAGAATATTTTGGACCAGCTTTCCTAGGAGTTCCTTTTCATTGTCTATTAAATATTTTTAAATATCCATAGGCAGTTTCATCTGGAACACCATAAAGTAGGAAAAAGATGGTTAATTCTGTGATATATGTTGGAAGATTTTTTTGTTGAAGACATTACATTATTTTCTGTACAGTGAAAATGTAAATGTCACACTTGAGCAAACTGACAAGAAATGAGTCATTACCACTCAGTTCCTGGGAAGTAATATTGAGTATTAAGGGAGACTGTCCAAGTCTTCTATCTTGATCAAATCTTCAAAATTTTGTTCTAAACTAGCTTCATTAGAAGGCAAACTACAACTGATAGAGATGATGGAGAAAACAAACCCACATTAGTAGCTTCACTACAAGGCCCACCTGCCCCAAGGAGGTTATAGTGGCCAATCCATTCCATTGCAGTCGGGCTCTGGGGAAGGTTGTACAGCCAGGCAGCAGAAGTACCTATAGCATTGGGTAGTTCATCAATACTCTGTGGGCCACCACCATTTTTACAAAAACTTAAGATCTGCCTTTCCACTCAAGGAGCAGTCTTTTGCTCTTCCTCCAAATTTGACTGACTGACTTCCAAATGCTTTGTTTTTAGTTCATTGGAATATGTGTGTAAGGGTGAAAGGCTGTAATAAACAACAGCAATTCATATTCTGTAATAAAAATGAATGATACTTCTGATTTCAAAGGAATATTGTACAGGAAAGGTAAAATGGTCATTCCCACCAGGACTGGTTTGCAGTTACAGAGAGAAAATTAAATTTAGGAATTTAACAAGAGATTCTTACCTTAAACATTCAGGATCAGTCTGACATTTTTCAGTGACTTGGACTTTTTCTGCTTCTAAATCTTTCGTCATTCTTTCAGCTTCCCTGATTAATTCCTCAAGGTCTAAACATAAAATAACTATTACCTCATAAATATATATTAATCATCCATATTCAAAGACTTCCTACATTTTCTAAATTTATCTTTTCTAATATTTCTTCGTGAAACTGTCTGTAGGGTAGAGGCATCCAAATAAAGAACATGAATTATTTTATTATTGTAATTGGTATGCATATTGCAATCATCTAGAAAATTTTGTTCCTTTTCCCAAACAATCTATGACCGTATTTACAGCCTGTCTTTCTTAGCTCTCTTACTGTGACAAGTTATTTACACATTTGTAAAAAAGTTATTGAACCACTTCCAGATCATATTTTTTTAATCCAAATTTCAAAATAATCCCTATTGCTTGTAATCACCTTTGACACAAAACCTTTCTTGGTTGCCTCCTTATCTATTTAGTTTTTTCTCTTTTCTGTGTTTTCCTGTGTATTCGACACCTTCCTCCCAGCTTTTTTCATGCACAGACTTTCATACACAAACACACAAATGTCAGTAAAGAGATGATAGCTGAATTTATAACTCAGAGGTTAGCAACTAGGCCAAATCAGTCTTTATCAGTCCAAGCCATGTTGCTTGTTAAACATTTCAATTTTAGTGACATTCTTTAATTATAGGTCAATAGTTTTTAAACAATTTTGATGTTGATTTTAAGTTTGCATTGAACCACTAAATTCTCCATTTATGACTTACCATCAAAAGTAAAAATTTCTTTTTCATATATATAACTTACGATTCAACAAACCTGTAGACCTCAGTATCACTGACAGTTAAAATAAGTCTTACTGAAATTAACAATATTTGTTATAACTATGTTTAAAAATTATGTATTATATAATATAAAAATATATTAAGATCTTGTCTCTATGATTTCTTTTTCTTGAGAAAAATAACTTGACAGAAAATACTTTTCAGAAGCATTTGTCAAGCCACAAATAATTATCATAACAAGTGATTATCAGGCACACCTTTGAGTTTGCTTTGGAGAGTAAATAAATCCTGCTTTAGTTCATTCTTCTGCAGCTGGAGTGCATTTAACTGAACATTTTTATGTTCCATTGACTCCATTTCTAAAAAAAATATGTATTTTAAATTAAAATGTATTGCAGTTTTGGTCTTCATGATATAATCTTAAATATTCTTAACTACTACTACCAATCTTCAGCTAGTCAAAAGAACCTTAAATATAAAACTAAAATCAACTAAAACCAGTCATATAAAACACGGTTCACAGGAAATTATATGTCATAATGTATTTATAACTATGAAAGAAATTTTTTTTAATGTTATTAAGATGTTTGACATAATTTGTTGACTGAGCATAAAAAGAATGTTTTGCTTTAGAGTTCCTTCAGCTATAAAGGAAGATGACTTATTGAATTGGTGGTTAACAGACACCTCTCAGCAGGACTGAAAAAAACCTTGTTTTATTTAGTGTTATGGACATTTAAGACTGACCACTGACAGCATCTGGAATTAATTGTGATTGTTACCCTGACAACTGGAGGTCCTCACGCAATTTCCTTTCTATGAGTTACTTAAACATTTCTCTTCAATGTTGTCAATGTGCTCAGGACTGTAGCAGACAGAGACACAGACCTCAAAAAAGGTGCAATTTAAAAGGATGGAATCAAGACAGCAACTGAACCTACAGAAAAATATTAGCCACCTTTCATGCGCTACTGATCCTTTGACTGATCGGATCCGCCTGAATATGTAAAAATTAATCATTAAAAGTAACATGTGCCACCAAATACAGACTTTTTTCCAGTTGTAGATTCAGAATCAGAGCCACAGGAAATACACAAAGGCAGCACCCAAGCACAAACTCCATATTTCAGTAACTTTTCATCAGATACTGGGAATTCAAAGTGCTGGAGCCTGATGAATCATAGAATCATGATACTGCAAAAGAGTGTAAGGGGTCGTCATCTGCATTCCTCCTCCTGAAGGCAGGATCAGCTGTACCTCTGTAATTTTTGACAGATGCTTGTCTAACCTGTTTTTAAAGACGTTTGGTAATGGAGGCTCCTAATTCCTTTGGTAATGGAATCTCCTAAGGCAGAGTGTTTCAATTGTTCACTGTTCTTAGAAAGATTTCTAAACAGCCAGCCATACTCTCCCCTTATTGTGGTTTACACCTGTTACTTTTTATTCAGTTCACTATATACAATGGAGAATATATTCATTTCCTTTTTACAGAATCCTTTAGTGATTTGAAGACTGATATCCATCTTCCATCAGTCTTTTCCTTCATAGGTTAAATAGTCCCAATTCTTTAATTTTTTTCCTTCTCATGTTCTTCAGATCTCTGATCATTCTCACTGGTCCCATGTGGATTGTCTCCAGCTGGTCCACATATTTTCTTGAAGGGTAACATCCAAAACTAGATGCACAGTACTCCAACTGAGAGCTTAACTGCTGTAAATAGAGTGAAGGATTATTTTGCAGGTCAGTATTATGTTTATGTCTCAATATGGTGTTGGTCATTGACTTATGTTCAGCCTGTGATCCATGATGACTCCTATTTCCTTGCTGAAGGATTGCTTTTCAGTCCAACTCTATTCTGAGAAATTTTATATTCCATATCTTAACTCAAAGATAGAGTTATCCTGTCACAGTAAAAGACCAGTCCTACAAGATATTTGTGCATATAGTTCTTTTGAAGCTAAGGAAATTTACACAGCTCACCCACAGGTGATTATAATCAGTGCAAACCTAATATGGTACGCCATGTATGACAGTGCACCTCTGTGCTGGTTGACAATAAGGCATTGGGAGCTACTTCTGCAGGTCTGCTGCTTCTCCTCATAGTGCTAATGGTCAGAAAGGACTGAAGAGGACAGGGAACAGAAGAGGCTTTAATTGGTGGTATGCCAGAACACACTTTTTTGGTTTACTGCTAAGAGGAAGTTCCAGACAGCAAGGGAATGGAATTAAAATTATTGTTTTGCACCGCTATATTTTACTGTATTTGTTGTATTTATTCTCTGGTAACCAAAGATAAAACAGTTTAATAGAAGACTTACCATTTTTCAACTGAGCTGCCTCATTCTCTAAATCATTTATTTCAGTCTTGACTTTTTTTTTAATCAGAAGATCTCTATTACTTGTTAGTCCATACTCATTGTTAAACTCTGTTACTTCTCTAGTAAAATTATCTTCCTCTTCAGTCATTTTTCTCTTTGCATCTGTCTGAAAAAAAAGAAAGGGAAAATTGCATGTTCAGGTCTTCAGAAAGACTTTCTTAAGCTAGGCAGGTCGAAATACACTGTTGTTTTTTATCCTTAAACTTGTAGTATATTTACTTTTCCTGGCTTATGAGAACATAAAAAACGTCTTTCAGTTCAACCCTTCATTGAAATTAGTAGAAAGTTCTTTTTAAAGTCATTAGTATACTATGGCCACTCTTTTTTTTTTAGATTGTTATTAAATGAAATAGAGGTAGTGTTTATTCCTCTGCAGAATGCAGCCTTACTTTAACTCCCTCAATAACTACCAAGAAAGCTATAGTTGACAGGAAATCACTGTTTCATTTTCTGGAAAAAATATTCTAAAGAGAAAGGCATTAATAAATTGCTTTAAAAAAATCTTAGCTGATTGCTAAATTAAATAAAATTGAATGACCCCTATATACAGGAATAAAGACATTATAACCTATATATCAATCTTGGCAGGTTACAATTAAAAGAAACTTCACACCCCTTCAAAGGATATTTAGCCTTCATAGCTAAATAATTTTTCTACGATACTTAAAATATTTATTTTTCTTTTTTTCTTTGTGTACTTAGGATTCAGAATACTTTGGATACTGAGGAAATATGAAGTAATTAAAAGGATATTTGCCTAAATATTTAAGGTTAATACCGGTGATCCACACCGAATGTTTAAAATTTAGCTCTGCTGATTTAAAGTACAAATACATATGCAGAGAAGACTACTCATCTATGGCGTTCTTAATATCTACAGATCCAAGGATCCACAGTGAAGTAAGAGGAAGGCAATATTCAGGTTAGCACAAGAGAACTGAAAAGCATGTTGTCTGTATATGTTAGAAGTAGCTACATTTTAAGAGGTGGCTAGCTGTGTCTAATCAAAGAGATTGTGCAGCATGTCAGGATTCCTAAAATGTGATGTTGGTCTCCCTGAGTTCTTCCTTTGATCCTTCTCAATATGTTTTATTGTAAATGAGGCAGTCCAATTTAAGGTGAGACTTCCCTAGTTTTCTTTCACAAAAGAAATAATATTTCATTGGAGTTCAGTCATGCAACAGCAAACATTAGAAAATGAAGTCAAGAATGTTATATCAGCTTCATAGATAAACTGCAGCATACATTACCTTAAATCATGGTTTAAATTAAAAGTCAGAATTTATCTACATTGGCATTGTTAAGTATGCTAGAGTAAAAAAAAAAAAATATTTTCCAGATCTAAAACAATGCTTCTTCCATGTTTTCAGTTTTTAAAGCTGACTACTCTCATACAGTAGAAAAAAGCTCTCTGAATACTGTAGTTGGAAACATACAAAGACTTTAAGAAGACTGCTTTTTTGATTAAGAAGTTCAGCTTTCTGTTTTTCTAAGCTGTCTTCATGTTTCTTCAGAATTTCTAAGTAGAACTGTTTTTCAGACAGATGCTGAACCTTCCAAGAAAAAAAAAAAAGGTTATAAAGTAAGGTTATTGTTTTATTGTTTCATATACTTTGATATTGTACATAAGGATCTTGGTCCAGTTAAAACACAGCTGGCATAGCTGCTAGACTAGCAAACACATAACAGCGCCTTTTTTTCCAGCAATAATCTTCCAATATACCACTAAGCTTTTGAAAAACATCCTTTCTTTAAAAGACACATTTAGTGCTGGTCCATCTATCTAAAATGGCATTTTAAAGTCTGCTCAGTTTAGGAGACATTTTTCAGGTTAAAACAGGAAAAATATTGGTCACATGGGATTTTTTAACCCAACATAAGACAGTGTCCTCCATCTAATTGTGTAAAGCTCATCACATACCAAATCAGACAATAATATCAGAGTTTATCTGATAGAAGGGTATGCTGTTCAACCATTGCATTTTCAAAATTTCCTGAAGAGTTCTTCTCAGTTTTCCAGCGCATCTACTGTATCATTATCTAACCTAAGATATATGGTGGGATAAACTATAACAGCAGATACACAGGGAACAGCTAAGTGTTGAAGAGGATGAAAGCGTTCAGCTGATGAAGTGGAGAAAAGGCGGTCAAGAGAATGACTCAGACTGTAAGAACAATGAGTAGAGAAAGTAAAGTTAGCAGAATTGCCCACAGACTGTACCGGCACAGGGTAAGTATCAGGAAGTAAATTGAATAGTCAGGCTGATACATGACTGTTTGTGTGTGCAGAAGCATAAAAGGCCAAATAATAGTGATATTACAGAGGTAAAAATGAAAAGATTGTAAAATGAAGTAATATAGATTATTTTGGAGAGGGTGCAGATGAAGTGCATCTGATCAAAAAAGGAAGAGGATAGTGGAATCAAATAACCTAAGACTAGAATGTGAGAGTTGGAAAAGAAAGGACCAGATTTTTTCCTTATCCCTGATATGTCCAGGATGCTAATTGTCAAGGAAGTTCTTGCTTCAGGAATATTTATTTTACATATTAATTCAAAGAGAGTAGATGGTCTTATACTATGGTATTTATATTACTGAACATAACTAGCTGCAGTGTAGTTTCTCCACCTGTAAGATGCCAACTTAATCTATGCATTTGCAACAAATTTTTTTGAAGAAATCATTGAGCCATGAAAAGCAAAATGCTATAATTCAGGTTCTAATTACATGCTACCTGATTTTACAGAACAGAGGAAAAAATAGCATTTCCTAGGAAACTTTGATTGACCAAAGGCAGTCTCTGTGAAATAGATGTCAAAACACTTTTGAACTCGGTCTCATCTGCTTGGTCAGGCAAATGCTGCTGTGCATGCACATGCTTGGAGATGTATGCTTATAAAGAAGTGCAGTTATTTGGTGTGGGACAAATTGAACAGCATTAGCGGAACAGCATTATTTAATATTATTTGAACTATATTAACTATTGTAGACATATGTAAACTTAATTCCTGTACTGAAAAATAAATTACTTTAAATAATTTCAATAGCTGTATAATCATTAAACCTAAATATAGTCTGATTGAAATGCATTTTCCCATTCTTCTTGTTTTCTGTATCATTTCCTATCTATATATGAATCAATGTCAGACTAAGCAAGCAAGTAAAATATATTTTTGTGGACATCAGTGAGAATATTGTTAATTCTGGTGGGTAAAGCACATAAGATTTAATTAGAAATAGTTCTTCAGCTCTTCCCATTAGTCATTTACAATAATGGCTCTACTCTTGGGACCTTCTGTACCTACCACATAAACCTTGATTATAAATCACAATGCATCAATAACAAATTGGTAGTATAAACATAAAATTGTGATGTTCATAAATAAATTTATGAGCAAGACTACAAAGGACTTTACCTAACAAGCAACCCCCAGATATAATCTGTGTTGGTTAAATAAGCACTTTTGGGCTCTGAGATTGTGGCATGCATAAATGCAAGCACGTGAATAACTGCTTGCATGATTATAGTCTCAATTTGCAACTGGTAAATATTTGTAAATGAGTTCTCTTTTATTCTGATCCCCTTGCAGTAACGTTAATATTTATTACATACATTACACAGCCTTTTACAAAAGGCAGAAGAGCCTGTTTGTGGAAGGATGAAAATCATCCCCCAAACATTTATTTTCACAACTAGGTGAGGCAATCCCCCAAAGGTTCTTCGAGATGTTTATCTAAGTGATAGGATACAATAGCTCTGACTTCAAAGGAGGCTCCATATGCTTTCCTGTTGTGCATACACGTTCTGCCAGAGCAGACACTTAAGAGCACAGGGGATGATATTTAGACTTCATTTTCAGGCACAAGCAAATGGGTTTTTAAATCATTTGTAACCACAGGTATTAATGGTGAAAAGTGCTGCAAAACTGGAAGCTTAATCTGAAAATATGTCTCCAGTTTGCTTAAATGGAAAGCATAATAAAATCTTAAGAACACTAAATAGATTCAGAGACTTTCCTCTGTCCCTAGAAAAACTCTTAGGCCTTGTAAAGCCCTAGCTGTGAGCCCCGGCTCAGGCACGTGTGCTGTCTCCAGTGCTTCCAGATTTTGGAAGAGATAATTGGAAATGTTCCTACCCCTGAGGTGAGTGAGTCCCTGAACGTAGCTGGGGCCAGCCTGAAGGGTGAGGTTTGTGAGCGGGGAAGGACGCTGACAGACCTTTTGTCACTACAGAAATGCACGGTGTAAGTTTTCTCAATGCTGTGTTATTTGGTAGGTGAAGCACAGTCCTTGGAAGTGTTTATTAATCTATTCCTAAAAGAATAGGTCATATATTTGTAAATATAATGTATTTCATTATTATGTATACTATAAACATGCCTGCTTACCTTAGATTCTAATTTAATTTTTGCAGTGCTCAGCTCTTCTTTTATTTGGTTAATTTTTTCATAACTTCTATTTATGTCAAATTTAGCTGCAACACAACAAAAACCTGTAAGAATGTGTGCTCAGTTTATAAAGGTTACATTCTTATCAGAACATGCCATTGGCAAGAAGCGGCCAGCCCGGCTGCCTGCTGAGCTTTTGCTGACAAGGGTCCCCTCATGGCAGCACTGTGGGGCCACCCTGCTCTTCCCCCGGGAAATGGAGAGGCCATTAAGTGCGGTCAGTGCTGCTCCCACACCCACAAGATGGTGGCCATGGGGCAGACCTTGTTGGATGAGGCGCCTCTTCTCCCTTGCCTGCTTCTCTGTGGCCTGTATTTGCTGGAATAAAGCATCCAGGTTCATTTCTGTCTTCTCGTGGAGTCTCTCCGGGTCTTGCTGTCTTTGTGGGGGGCTGGTTGGTTAAAGCTGCGATGCCCTGGGGGAAGATGAGGCCGGGCCTGGCCACAGCCCTTCCCTCAGGGCTCTGTGCCCTGCCAGACCTCGGCTCTGCCCTCTGGCCTCTGCCTTCCTGGGGTCGGGAAAGAAACCCCAGGCCACAGAGGGAAGCGACCGTGGTAGACGGGGCACGGCTGAGGAGGAAGGGGTGACAGAGTGGGACGTGTGGGCTGTAGACAGTAGGGGAGCGAGAGTGAGCCTCGGGCAGAGGGAAACGTGGGTGACTGGCTGGGGCAGCCCCCGTGGGAAAGGTGGGAGGTGGGAACGAGCAGGCGGAGAAGCAGCGCAGTAGGAGCGGGAGAAAGAAGATACCTGGCTAGGCCAAAGGCAGCTGACACTGGGTCTTGTCAAACTTGTGCATGTTTGTGAAACATTGGTTCTGACTCTCTCAGAGTCTGGGGAGTTTTGATCAAACAGCTCTGACTTATTTTATTGCTCTGGGACCACATGCTTTATACTGGTTTTGTGTTGTTCAGAAGATGGGTTTTTTACCCCTTCCTTTTTCTTTGGAGCGATCACCATCCTTTTAAAATACTATACCTGCTCAGATTTATTTGTCTTTTGAAGACTGATGTCTGAGCTTAGCAGTTAAGGAAGTAGGCTAAAATCTTCTGCTGTTACACAGAAGAAGATGGTAAAGTTGGCTACATAAAACTTAAGTAATGGTGATCAGATTCAACTCAGCTGCATTTCACCATTAACCTAAAATGACAGTGTTTCTGTTCCCGTTGATTTCAGTAAGCAAAGATCAAAACATAACCCATTGCACGCTCTTCTGGAGCATACTTGTGTTTAAGTTTACTATGCTCTGAGCTTCTGCAACTTTCTGGTTTGTACATTACTAGATGGCATGCCTGGAAATGTAAATACTCAGTTGAAAATGTAATTAATATTACATGGTTTGTTCCTACCTCTTTAAAAGGATGAACTACATTCCCCACAGGGAATACCTATGTGAAGTTGGCCTGTTAGCTTTGAGGCAGAAAAAGCCTGGAGGAATGGAACTTTGTAGCTTTACAGCCTTTTTAACATTGAAAAGGATTAGGATTAGGATTATTGACAGTCCTGTCTTGTTAAAGAGTTTTCCTCAGAGGAGATACTGTCTTAGAATAGAGTGCAGCAGCAAAGTTCAGTAATGAGAAAGAGAAAATTTTTGACTGTAAAAAGCAAAACAATGTACATGAGAGTACAAATGTCTTATTAGTGAAAAAGCTGTTCTAAATTAGCAGAATGAAACTGAGAATTCTGGAAAAATGTTATGTTATAAAATTTGCTCCTTAAAAAGTGCCATGTTATAGCTGGAAGTGTTAAAATGGTGCTTTTTCAAGAAAAGACATTGCTCTATCTAAGAAAGAAAACGTGGGTGCTAATGAAATTTTAAAAACCTGAAACTAGCACATTATGTTGCAGGAAATGCAATTATTTTTTAAAATGGAACAAAGTGCAACTGAGGGAGAAGAGTTCACAAAAGTGAATTTAGAAAATGTTTCAGAAGTGAAGCTTCCTACCCAAAGGCCAAGGGAAAAGCGGATGAGTCAAACAAGAACATTTGGTGATTGAGACAGTGATTTGTTACACAGGTCTGATGAGTGAAAAAGTCATTTTACAAAATTCAAGAAAATGAACTGCTCTATGAGTGGATCAAGGAGAAAATAAAATGAAAAACTTTCTTTGAAGTTTTTGAGACTTGACTGCTTTTGTGTTTCAAACTGAGAAAGCTGCTGTAGGCTGGGATAGTGTTCAGTGTCACTTATTAAAGAAATGACTGTGTTTTGTGGAGGGTGCTTCAGTGCCTCTAATTATGGCAAAGGAACTGCTCTCCCTAGAAGGAAGAATCTGGCTCCAACTATACTTCTCACTGTCTGAGAATGACCATTCAGGGCGATTAACAGTTCTGTAAAACATTCCTTCAGAGACTGAAAAAAATCAAAGTAGAACAAGTATTTGACATTAAGCTTCATAGCTTTTGAATCCTGCAGCTATTTGCCATGTGCTTGATTTTTGCATGGTAAATAACTCATAATAGTAACTCAGGATTGTGTTAAGTGAACCACGCATGTGAAACATATACAAGTGCTTTCAGAATCAGGACCGAGGCTGTTACTTCAAAGGTGTGCAGTTGCCTGGCTCCCATGGAAATGGGTGAGGTGAGGTGGTATGAATCTAAATGTTTCAGAATGAAAGTAAAATGTCAATTACCTTTGCTCGACTCCAACTTTTGCAAAGTATAAATCACTAGCTGCTAGAAAGGTGACTTTAATTTTATTCTGTCGGCCATATCAGTACATCCTAATCTTAATCTAAATCTGTATCTTAATCACCGTGCTGTAATCAGGTCATGTCTTTCTAGTGTACTTCAAAATTAGTAATTGCCCTTTGTAATCAGGCTTCTGTGCTAATAGTAAAGTTTCTTCTACAAGTTTATTCTCTAGTTTGTGTATGAAGAAGAAAAGAAAGACTTGGTTTGTAATTTCAAGTCACTATAAAAATATTTATTAGTGTAATTTATTTCTAAATCATATATACTCAGATAATTTCAAAAATTGTTTTTCTGCAAGCCAAAAATGAAAGAGTCAAAGGTAACAAAGTGGCAGGGTAAAAATTAGATGATACAATATGGTCTTCACCATAAAAAATATATAGTAGAAGCTAGAAATTACAAGATTATAGTTACAGATTTCCTCTTTTGTTCTTAAGCACTGTTAATATTATATCTTCCTTATACAAACTATACTGCTTAGGTTTGAATGTTATATTTATATCAAACCTTCTTCCCAAACTACATCTCTTTGGTCATCTTTTGCTCTTGGTGGTCTTTGTATTTGACATCTATTTTTGCACTAACTTTGTTCTACCTTACATGAAGGAATAATACCAAATTATTCTGTGGCATAAATTCACAGCTCTCATTTTGTGTTCACTGCTGAAGTCCTTTACTGGGAAATAGCATATATATGTGTGTGTGTATAAAAATGGTGAGCACTAACCACTGGAATGCAGTGTTGAGCACCAATGCAATGCTGATGGAGGGCGACCACAAATAGTGAGAAAGCCAGTAATTATTTGGCATAAGTAAGCATAAAAAAATAGCAGACATTCATAATTTTATGCTATGGCTTTTAAAATCAAGGCTTTAGCTCTACTATTTAAAACTTCATTGTTAAAATACAGCAAGCAGTGTGAAGTGGTAACATGTAATAAAGTGGGTTTAAAGCAAACCAAGAACATTTTGTGTGATGATTCTTCCCCTCCCGCTGGCCACCCCAGGGGAGGATGGAGCTGGTCTGTCTCGCCCATTGCCTGTCTCCTGTGCCGGCTGGGTGGGAATGGGGGAGCACAGGAACAGCAGAACAAGCACTTGGTGGTCTCTGCTTGAATATATTTGAGTTCCTAGTAATAAAAAGAAAAGAAAAAACAAAGAAAAAAAAGTAATTCAACTGCTTCTGAAAACCTAGAGCAGGATAGCAGAGAAGGAGAATATTAAAATGCAGTAATAACTTCTAATTTACGACCTCGCTCTCATTTCCTGAGGAACTCAGCTTAAACACAGTCTAGGTGTTATCTCTGGGAGAGTGAGAGCAAACGCTGACCCACAGGCTGGAAGGTCTCCATTTCTAGGAGACTGCTCAGCAAGGGACTCATGAATAGATACCCTGTTTCCTCCTCATAACAGGGAGGAAATAAACTACAAAAAGTCATGTAATAAAATATAAAATAATGGAAAATGTAGAACTAAATCCCTGGCAAATTATATGGAAATGAATACAGAATGTATCTCTGTGCCCCAAATCCCCTATTTATTTGTCTGTTTTTTCAGGTGACAAAATTGTGAGTTAGTGAAAAGCTTTGTGTGCTTATAATGCATCAAAACCCACTAAGAAGTAACTTCGTACTCCCCCGAACACGGCTGGCTGCAATGGAGCACTAGCTATACACTTTTCCGCTTTGGAAGGAATGTAAACAACTTCACAACAGATGTTCTTTATAAGGACAGAGCCTGCTATTTGCATTGTCATATCTCCGTTTGAGTCTTATATCCAAGATTTTGTTTAATTCCATCTGGAAAGGCTTCATTGGATCCCTTTGGGTTACAAAAGCAAAGATTACTCTTTTATGTTTTTAAACCTAAGTTTTCTATTGTCTTTGGTTATAATCACACAACACCTGCTTTCTTTGCTGATTGGAACCTGCACTGTTATACAGGTAGCTACACTGTCCCTCTGTAGTGTTTTGGAGTCTTAAATATATATTTCAGTTGCCTCTTACTGGATTAAGAGTCTATCCAAAACTTTTTTACCCTGCTGTTCTGCAGTATTTAGATAAACAACAAATGAGGCTCTCATTTTGAAACATTTATCAGAGCTCTTATTTATCTTGGCATAATGGTAGTAACTTATTTAATGGAGAAAGAATTCTTCAGATCTGGAGTGTATATCACAGTACAAAATACTGCCTTGGCTTTGCATTTTTTATAGTAAATTTTCTTAATTATTTGGCTGAAAAACTGCAGTTTGCTTTACATCAATATTGGTTACCACTAAGTTGGCACCCAGTGGAACAGAAATAGTGAAAAAATACTTTTTAGATGTTAATTGTTTGCATCTTCCATTTATAAGAGGGTATTTTTTTTATTTTGTATTAGAAGAAATGTAAATGAATTATCCATTATGTTGTAAAGTCTTCTAAGAAGATGGGTGGCATTAAAACTTCTGAATAAGGGGCTGTTAAAGAAACATTTTGAGGACTGGGACTTTCATGCGAGAGATGTAATCTTGGATTGAAATGTGTTAAACAATCGGTTGAAAATACTTCAGTTAAGTAAGGTATGTTTCCTATAACCATATACCGCCAGTGTGCTAGCTTACCTCTTTTTGTTGCATAAATTTTATCTTAATCATAGAAAAATG